GATTCACAAACTGAGCAGACACATGCTGATTCACATTCCTGTTCATGCCCCGGCCCCGGAGGCTAATTGCCAGTTACAAACATAAAAGAAGAGCAGTATATAAAATAACTAAAATCTACAAATGAAAGGTATTTGTCTAAAATTATAGCTACATGTATGTCTAAAACTATGTCTGAAGGGTTTGACTTCTCTCTTGTAAACTGAAGAAGACATGTGTATATCTGTAAGTCAGAGTCCTTCTCAGCATTTCCCCCAACATGTTCAGGGTCACAATGTTGATTCGGAATGCTAATGCCACAAAGAGGAGTATCCATTGTGATCTAATACCGGTATGTCTTTAACACGTTGCAATAAAGTTAGTCTACGGGTATTTGTTGGAAGGCTTTGCTGTAAGAGGAGAGCATCCATTTGAAGGGAGTGTGAGGTTGTGCCCATTTGGACCAAGCATCTACCTAATTCTGCTCTACAGGCGACATTGCTACTATTTCTAAATAGATATAATAAGAATTCTAGGAATTGTATAGGCATTTTTGTCCACAGGCATGCGGAATGTCCACAGGCATGCGGAATGTCCACAGGCATTTCTCTGACCCACATCTATGCCCACATACCTGGAACCCTGAAGACCTGTCTGCCCCAGATGGTCCTACTTTCTGTGACCCCGGGGCTCGTTCACTATGCGCTCAGGGGAGGAGTGTACTGTATCTGTCTAGACCAAAGTCCAAGTACCAAGTCTTCCTCAAAATCATGAAATGATGGCAGTGCCACGCAAACAATAACCCTAACAGCAACCACCGTCGCCATGGCAATGTATGTTTTCGTTGCCAGTCTTGTTTCCTTTTCCAATCAGGCCCGGCAGTCCTACAATTTATCCGACAGTCCTGCAATTTATGCAACAACCGGATTCAAAATGACAATCATGAACTTTCAAGATGATCGTTATAAAATAGAGGAATGAATGACGACCTTTATGTTTATTGGGCATTTCGCCACCCTTAGTATAGGTCACAACAAAACAAGACAAGACGAACAGATACATATACACAGTCTATTTGTATTTCTAAATCTTGGAGAGTGTTTTGGTTTATTACGGCCCCACGCACTGTGAATGATACATACAGTACATATGTGTGTTTTGGATAACTTTTGGGTGATTCATTCTTACACTTGAAAAGCTGATATCGAACAGGTTCAAACACGCAGACCACAGTCACAACCATATAACAAATTCATCAACACATAAATAGATTAGAATTAATGTAGATAATTAACTGACCAGGTGAGAAGGTCTAGTTACTGACACAGGTGGATAGCACATGTATCCTCCAGTACCGCGCCGCCCAAGACAATTCCTCAGTTAGTAGTGAAGACATCCGTCGTCGAGAGCTGTTTTATTCTGTTGGAATATTGGTTACATGGCCGAACGATGTCGTTCTCTGCTGCTCTGACAGTGCTGTGTTCCATCGCCGTGGCCGGCCCTGGTCCTGTAGGCGCACCGGGTGAGATTACCAATGTTTAAGCCATAAAATCTCAGCCTTTCGCCCCCACTATGTAAGGTTGAGGGATCACAGGATAGAGTTGTATTACTTTGAAACCCCCGTGTGTGTATGCATGTGTGACCATACTATACTATACTATACAATACTATACTATACTATACTATACTATACTATACTATACTATACTATACTATACTATACTATACTATACTATACTATACTATACTATACTATACTATACTATACTATACTATACTATATGCTATACTGTCAGTCAGTCTTCCAGTCCATCGGTTAACTTCATATCGAACCTGTTATGTCCTTATATAGTACTCTAGCGCCATCGTGTGAGCGTGATTTTGACACGCGGAGCATATGCCTCTACCTAGCCTGGGCACCGTGTCGGTGATAGTATTTTGTCTACCGGGGTTCCTCCCGGACACACACATTCTTCCCTCCACCAACTGAATTCGAAGTCCCAGTAAGCGTAAGAATCTATAAACTAGCAAGAATGGCACCCAGGTTAGGACCTACCTATACAGGCTTTACATGTTTGTTAAACATGCCAACATGATGCTACTTAATTAAGTTACCCACCAACACCTAGTCGCCGAGCTTCGTCTGTATTATGAAAAACCTCTTTCGCTAGACCGAGTTCAAATTGGAACACTTGGAGATGGAAGAAGTCGATCATTGATGATTCTGTAAGATGAGTTTGAAACCACGGCAATAAGACAGTTTCCTGTGTCAAGTCTACGTTTGTGTCTGGAAGAATGGAGGCTGTATGAGATCTACTCTGTAAATGTCTTTATTTGCAAAATCATGCCCGAAGGCTAATTGGTTTACAGAGTCAAAGATTCTATACGGTATAATATGATAACATACAGGGAACAGACAACTGCTGTCTAGAAAAACTTATACTTCACTACTACGCTTGCTATCATAAGGTTTGACTGAAGTGGATAATGAATACCCCCGCGTAATTCTGCATAATGAGTGGGTTTTGTGATCTTAGTTAACAATGTGTCTTTTGAAATCAACACGTTAGATCCGAGATGTGGTATTCCTGCGGTCGCGCGTACTGCCCCTGGGGATCGCATCGTCGGCGGAAATGACGCAAACCACGGGGCGTGGCCATGGCAGGTACCTACCTCTCTTGTCGACTTCGTTATCACTGAAGCAAAAGCGCAAAAAGAAGAGTAAATAGTAATTTATCTAAACCGATGTTGCTGAAAGCTCTTAGTGTATGGATAGCGTATACCAACCCGAGGAAACTATTCATTGAGCTCTTAGTGTTTGCCTACTGTGTACTGGGAGCAGCTTGTTACTTGAACTTGTTTGTTTGTTTTTGTTTACTCTAGGTATCCCTCCGCTACCTGGCTCACAGTGATTTCCATTTCTGCGGCGGTGCCCTAGTGCACCCACAGTGGGTGGTGACAGCAGCGCACTGCGTGGATGAGTGAGTAATATAGTCCATGCATTTTCCCTGGATTCATGTTTTAAAAATCACCTAACTAATAAATTTCAATAGATGATAATTTCAGGAAGTGAATAATGTAAATCAGCTCACAAAATACGATATCATTTTACCAAACATACGCCGCACGAATGGAATTATACAAAAAAATCGGCTCATTATGTAGTCATTGGTACATAATGATAAAAATCATAATGATGATAATGATCTATTGGAAAATAACACCCTCCTCCCACCCCGAAAACATTTGTACAGATCTAACTGGTAAACTGATTGCAATATCGATCAGTATCCCGTTTGGAGTTCATGCATTTCAGAGGTAGCCTTTGGCCCGAGGCGCACAGTGTATAGAACGACTTAATTGCGTAGCTAAAGCAATTTGAAGTACATCCAAACGGTTTTCTATGAGCCACATGTAGTTAACCTATGCCTATGGTCTATGGTTACCTTGGGGCGTGATTGCGAGAGAAAGACTGGAGGGATAGCTTTTCAGAGGTTCTACAGTACATGAAAGGTGTTGCATGATGTTACCATGTTTCTGTTGGAGACAGATAAATAAGTCTTTCACTTCCATGCATAGGAGTACATTCCGTACATGCAGAGCTCGAAACAGGAAGATCATTTCATAGATTATATCACGTGCATATTTTCCCTGTTCCGGAGTCAAGATTAGGTATTGATGGAGGGCCTGCAAGGGGGGGGGGTAGTGATTACGAATTACGTAAAATGTTCGCCGCCTATTACGAATTACGTTAAAGTCTCAGAGCTGATTACGACTTTACGATTTGCGGCTAATGTCCTATTACGAATTACGTTGATTTTTGCGGAGGCTGCCTACGAATTACGAAGTCTAAAACGGCCTGATTACGCCTTACGAAAAGGGCATGCAGGCCCTCTTGATTGTGATTTACCCCTGGCATGGTTTATATTGCAGTGGAGACAGACCCTACGTAACATTGGGAGAAAGCAGCCGTTCCAGCAATGATGGCACAGAACGCACGATTCGGGCCAAAAAAGTCTTCATTCACCCAAAATACGGGTTCGCCTATGACGTCGGTAAGCTTTATTCAGTTGATTCAAAGGTGGTTTTGATTCTGACGCATTTTAAATTGCCCTACAGACAGTAGTAGGATTCTGGTAGGCCTAGGGTGCCGTTGTCAGTAGCAATATTGAATACGGGAATGAAACGAAATAACTCTTTTCGTAGAATGTGTATCTCTGTGTGCACGTGATACCTGCTTTCGAGGGCTCTAGAAATCTGTGAAATCTTTTTTTTTGTCCGCCCCCACAGCTCTTCTGAAGTTGAGGAAAAGTGTTCGCTTCACCCCGTACATCCGAGCTGTTTGCCTGCCCGAGTCTTCCACGGTTGTGCCCCCGGGGACGGTTTGCACCATAACGGGCTGGGGAGCAACTTCGGAAGGTACATGAACGTCCGACAGCGAGAAAAGGCGCAAATATATCCCTCAACATTATAACTCCCCTACGAGTATATATATATATCTATATATCTATATATATATATATCTATATATTTATCTATATCTATATCTATATCTATATATATATATATATATATATATATATATATATATATATATATATATATATAGAGAGAGAGAGAGAGAGAGAGAGATAGAGATATAGATATAGATAGATATAGATAGATATAGATATATATAGATATATATATAGATATATACATATATAGATATATAGATATATACATATATAGATATATAGATATATAGATATATAGATATATAGATATATAGATATATAGATATATAGATAGGTAAAATTGATACAAACGTAAATTTGAATATCTGCGACCTTCGCGCGTGAACTACTTTACTTTTGAAAATGGCTTTCTATCAGATTTTTTGTACCTCTTGCAACCAGTGCGAACGTCTATCCACATGTAATCATCGCTATAGAATGATAAACACAAGACCACAGAGGTTTGTGTTCAGAGGCACGGGGATGAAACGTACGGGGTGAGTAAGCTCCAGCATATTGCAATATCTCTCATGCAAGTCCCACATCTGAGCAAAGTTCAACTCACCATTCCCTGTAGGCGGTTATCTATCCAATCAGCTGCAGGAAGCGGACGTGCCGATAGTGAGTGACTCGGACTGCTCCAGCTCGTATCCCGGTTGGCTGGACTTTGACTCGGAGATCTGTGCCGGCTACACGGCTGGAGGAGTCGACTCGTGCCAGGTAAGCCACTCTTAGCAAGCCTATATCCACAGAAGCTCAGCCATGTTCACGCGTGGCTGCATACCGCACAAACAACGACTTATTGCCGACGCTATTTTCCGTCTCCTAAACGGTGGTTGCCCTTTGCAACGGTGGATGGCATATACTAGAACTAGAACCCTAATAAGTTTCGTTTCGTGTGCGTTTTAGGATTGAGCTTTTTGATCCGGGTTGAACCATGAGTTTTGCACTTTCTTCATCATTTTTTCACGTTAAACTGACATACATTTCTTATTGAATTGTTGCTCTTTAAATGATGGGTAATATGGCATCGACCGTTTTAAATCTCAACGACCGTTTATGTGTACGTATGTTACGAAACGCGAAACGCCGATGCCATCTCTCGCATGCGCGCACGGAGATGTCTTTGCGATGATCCATTTATTCAAGCATTAAACCGGTTTAGCTTTTCTCTCTCGGATGAAGCGAGCCCGCTGTACCATCAGACGGTAATGATTTTTTGTCTAGACGACAGATATCGACTTTGATACCCTTCAAAATAAAGTGATCCATCTTGCATTTGAGGGCAATGCGGGATCAACATTAAAATTTATAAAAGGTAATAACAGGCGCGAACAATTGAAGTGGAATGGAACATCTCTGTTAAAATAACACCACCGCATGTTTACAGAATCAGAATGGGAAATTTGCGATGTCACATATAGACTGCGTCGTAAGTTGTCTTTTTAGTCGCGACTTGATGGAAACCAGCTTTAAAAAAGCAGGGGGACAAAATAACGTGAAAATTAGAAATGAAAAGTGTCGATCATTCAAGAAATAGGCCTATAGAGTAGATAGTCTCTACCAGGCTTCACAGGTGGCTGGAAAGAGTAGAAATTAATATTGGCCAGATAGACAGATAACATGCCGAGGGAGTTAGCTCGATCAATGAAAACTGTACTCCTTCAGCGGACGAACTCCCTGGCATGTTGTCTCTGTTTGGCCAATTTCTACTCTTTCCAGCAGCCTCTGAAGCCTGGTAGAGGCTACTTATGGAGCGGATTCAGTCAAAGACTAAAGGGGTATAACAATGAAAAAAAAAGTATACAGATGACATCTCTAAAACATGATGCTTGATTGGCAACTGCAGTGTGTAAAGTTATAACCATGAAAACGTGACCCGTACACAGGGGGATAGCGGCGGCCCGCTGGTGTGGCTGACGGGAGGACAGTACCTGCTGATCGGTTTAACCAGCTGGGGAGAGGGGTGTGCCCGGCCCAACCGCCCCGGTGTGTACACGCGCGTCTCTGGTGTGGTGAGCTGGATCAAACGCACCATCCGTAACAACTCCTAACCACGTATCGCCTCTCTCTCACTCCTTAATAAAGGTTATTAAAATGTTAATCATACGTGTACATGTGTCAGTGGTCACATTCCAGTATCTGATGAGTCGCCCTTGTGTGAGTGTGTATGTTTGTGTGGATGTGGTTTAGCACGATAACTCGAGAAGCTATGGATGGATTGTCATGAGATTTAGTAGGCGTGTATGTCTTTTTACCTCTTCTGCTTTGTCAATTCTTTACGTACATATGCATGGCGTACATGTACAATGGTCGTTTTCACAATACAAAAGACAAGTCATTGTATCATCACTATTGTCAAGAAAACAAGAGCCGTGACGCAAGAACGTTATATCATAACTCGTGACCGACAGCCAGTAAGGTTAGGTGACATACTGGAACGTATCATCCCCATTAAGCAATCAAACCGAAAAGTTTACATCCTTGTTTCAGTCTCATTGTTGGCAGGTACAACAGTACGTCCATCGATTTCCATTAAGTGACGCGTGTGGCAAACCTTAAGACCGCCATATGTATTTCTCCAACCTGACTTGTTGTTTTCATGTGCACTCAATATGCTGATTGGAAAGCTCCTTACATCTAACCGCCTTCCCCTAGGGTCTTTCGTTCTCCACTTAAGCTTCGAATGTCAATTCTTTTCAATTATCTGCCATATCCCCGGGCAATTTACATGCAAACGGCCGTCCATGTAATCTTCAGCCATGTAAGGTATTACAGTGGGAAGGTCATCTCTACAATACCAGTCAATGGAAGTGCCTGGGTCCCGGTTGTAATTGGTTGTTTTCAAGAGCGGATGAAGGGCAAGCACATCTTTCTTTTTTCTTGAATCTTTTTGACTGCTCAAATCCTCTTCTAGATTGATTGTGATATGGTCCAAACGGAGAGGGGGGAGATATAAGATACAGTCTCTTATGAATAGTCTCTTTGAAATTGACCACATGTATGGAAGAGAAAAATAATTATATTTATTTCATGAACACTGCAACGAAGCTGATATTACGCACACTGTTCGTGGAAAATCAAACCGACAACCAACAGCAATCAATTCACTCCGGTCACAGTGCTTCTTCAGAGAAAGGCAGATCGGTATAAACACTTGACATTTACGGTTGAATATATTCTTGTTGCTGTCTCACATACAGTCTGGAACATACAGTCTAAAACATATACATCAGTGTGCACGTGCAAAATAGATAGGAGTTTCAAATGACAATCAGAATCTTCTGTTCCACATACGATTTTACTATAGCGCAAGACACCGTGTGTAGATATTGGGTATTGTCAGTTTGAACTTGTGAGGAAAAAAACTTTAAATATAAATCAACTTTAGAAGTACATGAATGCATCCAAATCCTGTGAAGCACTATCACATCATTCCTCAATAGTAATACATACGTCTATATAATACTTTAACATTAAATAACCATTGGATCCAGATCCAATACAGAAACTAAATCTACATGTACTCAGGCCAACACTTCAACGTAACAAAGCAAGAAGACACGACCGGTACAGTAACATAATCATTCAAGAATTATATGTATGAAAACAATAAACATTCACATCGATAGAATAAACATCAAACTCTGTTGCACATTATATTACATTCCAAGTAATGAAGGAAATAAACGGAAAGCAAAAACTACACTACTACTATACTTGCCAAATTAGACTACAGCACTGACAGCTTTACCTGCACATATACATGTGCCTACTCTTCATCCTGAGTCAAATATGAGAACAACAAGTGACATAGATGTCAAGAACTAACATGACTGTTGAAAACATTCACCTGACCTTGACTGGTGAAGCAGGCATTATGTGGAAAGGTGCATAACAACACAACAACTTCAGTGATTCATTGAGGCTATAACGTGTCATAGATGTTCACAGTTTATCCATACGCCGCCTTGGGCCTTTTTCACGTAGTATGTCCGGACAACGACCCCTACACGCCGGTATTCATGGCCTGTTTTTCTGATGATTCAGACGTTATGTTTTGAGGTGTGACAACTCAGTCAAACGGTTCATTAGGCTATAACGAGTTTATCCATACGTTGACGTCGCCCTCTTTCACGTAATATATCCGGACAACGGTCCCTACACGCCGGTAGTCATGAATTGTACTTCTGATGATGCAGACGCTATGTGATAAGGTGCACAGCAACCCGACATCTTAAACGGTTCGTTAAGGCTGTAAAGTGTCATAGATGTTCATAGTTTATCCATACGCCACCCTCTTTGACGTAATATGTCCGGACGACGGCCCTCACACGCTGGTGGTCATGAACTGTACTTCTGGTGTGCTCCTTGATTGCCTCCCCCGCAAGCTGATGGGTGCAAAAGCGCCGGATGAAGACGGAGGAGGAAAGACGCAGCCCCTCGGGACGGCTGTGGTTGTGTTCTGGCCTCTTGGCTTGCCTCTGCCGGCTCGCTTCAGCAGTCTGCCCGGGATGACCCTGTCCAGCAGGCTGTAGACATGCTTCATGACGTTGTCGTTGGCGAAGACGTACACCACCGTGCTGATGACGCTGTTACTCATGGCCAGGCCGTCCAGTGCGTACACGATGGCCGTGCTGTGGCTCACGTGCGAGATCAGGTCGTAGGAAAAGTCCCGTATGATGGAGAAGGAGTACAGCGGCCCCCAGCACACGATGAACGCCGCGACCAGAACGACCAGCCGGACCGTCTTGCGGCGGGACCGCTGGCGGGACCGGTCCTGGGACTGGTTGCGGCGGCCCGGGAAGCGGCGGTTGCAGACGCGGTACCCGATGTAGGCGTAGCAGGCGCACATGAGGCAAACTGGCGCGATGTATTCGGCCACGAACAGGAAGAGGGTGAACGCTTGGTACAGCGGCCGGTGCCAGATGGGGTAGCTGACTGCGCAGAAGATGTCGCCGTTGAGAAACTCTGCCGTCTTGGAGAACACGGCGGAGGGGACGGCGAGCACGATAGCCGAGATCCAGACCGTGGAGAAGATCGGAAACAAACGTCGTCTGGTGACGCGCAGGGTTCCAGATCGCTTGACCACCATGAATCTAGCAAAAGGGAAAAAACAAGACGTCGACAGTTATGCATTTCTGAATGTCCAGAAATCTGTGCCCCTTGAATAAGTTTCCCGGGCCGTGACTGCTGGCCGCTTTTCATTGAAATCATCAAGTGATGTCCAAAGTACTGTGTATGTACATGTATTAACTTAAGTAATATGTACAAATACAAGAAATCTAAGATCTTGAAAAATGTTCTGAACGATACGCTTCTGACATTGTAGGGGCTAAAGAAGTGGAGGACTGGACTATCCATGGACTATCTAACATCTGCCATAGTAATTTGTAGACTAAAGCCGCCAGTAACAGTTGACTCACATGGGTTGATCTCGTTTTACTTTCCCGGCAGCCCAAGTTAGGCAGAAATGGGTTACTCCGTTCTGCTATTTGCCACGTGCCTGCGTGGCCGGTGTGTTATGCAGAAGGGCGGTTATACCGGCTCAGTATAGATGATTAGACTGGACCGACGGCGTTTATTAGGAGCAAACAGAACTGTATAGAAAAAAGGACACAGACGCCTGAAGGGTTAGGAACTCGCGGTACTCGCCAAGCAGATCGAAGATTTTAATTAGGCTTTAGCTTATTTGATACTGTCTTGCAGGCCAATTCGTCTTGCCAATCTGTCTTGACACTTTGATACTGTCTTGCAAGATCTGCTTGGAGATAAAGGCTTAGGGGGCGGTCTATATGGGCACTGCAGTCTCTAACACCCGGCACACGCTTCGACACACGCTTCGACGATAACACTCAGCCATTCAACATACAGGTGCATTCATGCTGGCAATACACAACGGCAAGCACGAAGTGCGCCTGACTGGAATTGGAAGTGCGGCATGTACATCGCATCAAGTCTGTTATTTCCACTTTCTGTGTGCATCGATCCAGCTTGGTCCAGAATCTAATCTCACCAGAAAATCTCGTCCAGACTCTTTTCAAAAGACCCCCTTAAGTAGATTATAAGAGCATTCAATCTGTAGCAATCCGACCAGCGACTGACGCATTGATAGAAACACAGAAACGACATTCACCTCGTCTCGTTTCTAACCAGATCCAGTGGCGTCACTTTCACAGCGAACTACTAACCCTATGAGGGAAAGTCTGTTCGTGCAGACAGTTGGGATCTTCTTGACATTTAAGGTGATTGTGTGTGCACGCTGTGTCGTGCCTTTAACCTCAATCAGTACGCGCGGAAGAATGGGGGTGGGTGGCTTACAAAAGAGCAAAAATTGGTGGATGTGCGTTGCGTATGGTCATATATTTCCTACACACACTGGTTTGAAAGAGGTCGCATCTGTCATACCGCCCCAACACCAACAGCCGTGGCATCCGCACAATAACATCCTGTTTTTGCGGCAACTGCACATGGACTGTCGAAACCACTACTTAGTATGATTGTCCGGCTACAATAACAACACGTCACACTATGACGTTTGTTGTATCCTTGAGTTGGCGGATACACGAGTTTGTTTACCACAAACTTAAGCAGCACTGACTGTTGTGGTGACTATCTGAATAAGAGTTGGGAAACCTCCAGCTCATACTGACATGAGATATTAAAGTTTTTGGTAAGGTTTGCTTGATTTTGTCTCTTTGATTATGGAAATAAGGTCGTGATTTGAACGCCATGAGTATGCCATTCTAATTATTTATTACAAAGCAATCATCGTGACATTTTCGCCGAGGTAACAATCAGCCGCTCTGGGACTGACGTAGAACGCGGCCCACGTTCTGCAATTATTGCCATCATCATCATTTGTATGCGTTCACTTTGAAATGGAGTACAATATAGTAGTATCTATAGGCTTTTGTTAGCGTCTATCTGTAACCAAAAACTGTGCGTCATCTAAATATAATGACGTACGTTTCTTTGTGTACTGAGATTGAGAACTACAGTGCGCTTGGTTGTATGAAATTCGCATAATTTTTACATAAAATTTTCCTTGACTTCTAAATTTGCTTGTTCACTATTACAGTCATCAAAATTATCTAAGATGCAATTTAGACACTAAGATACATGGGCTGATAACTGGAGGAATTCGAAATAAGAGCAAACCTTCGTTCTCGCGATCGAGCCCCTTACATCGTTTGATTGTGACGTCATTGCTGTGCACGCGTGGGGAGCCAATGCTGATCGTGTTATCTCGCTGGTACAGAGATATAAGGGAATTAAAGCTTCTCATATGTCATTATTGAATGCCGTAAATCGAATTGTGAATCGTGCCTGCTACTTACGGTAATATCAATGCTCAAACCACAATAATTGCAAAAATGGGCACCGCTTACGAAATGCTTGAAAAACTGGATTTTTTTTTAAAACTGGGAGTTGAAAATCGACCCATGGCCAGCCCGTCCCAAAGCCATTTTTATATAGCTCATCAGCTGGACAGAACGAAACTTCTCGGGTGCCTGCCAGAACACCTCAGTAGTGCCAATTTGAGTTATCGCTAAGGATATTTTTCTGAATGTAAAAGGGGTTTTAATCAGGACCACGACAACAGGTGCCCTTTCGACTTAAGAGCCTGTCCGGGGGCTACACGGCCGTTTGGCATGGGAACCGTGTAATTATGTCCTAAGGCTAAGCATAAGGTAGACCGTGTAGTACTGTTGTTGAAATCGAGATACTATGGACGAAACGTCCGATGTGCATTGCCTTCTTCATAAAACACTGGAATGGTCGGGTTGGCTTGCAAGTTTACAGAAAACAAACTAAAAGCAAGCAAGCAAACAAACAAACAAACAACAAGCAAACAAACAACCTACCCGAGATATTTACATACATATCAATATCTAGTTCTTTAGCACAATGTATTTGGAAATGTGCAACTTTTAACAGTTCAGGGTACCAAGACAAGGGTATTAGAACTGTAGCAAACAATATGGCTGGACAGAGTTTAACATCAAACCCAGCTACAGGACCGACACACGGATGCTAAAGATGACCCGTAGGTTGGATACTGCAGGGAATTCCCACAAGACGCACGGCCACTCATGGTTGTAATTTGAGATGTAAAGACGGGCTCCTCTATGGCGTTACTGCTCCGCCTAAGAAAGCAGTGTTCAGCAGAGAACACGACTCTTCAAAACACACCTGCGTTTTCGGTCTCACATTTGTTAGTGGTTATTACACCAGACGAAATTAGAAATCCTTAACATTCCCTCCACCGTCTGCTGCTGTTTGCGCACCTTGATTAGGCCACTAAGCTGGCGTCTGCACAGTTTAACATAGAGACGCATAACGCATCCATATCAGGGCTACTTTTGTCTAACAGCGACGGCGTGCTCTAGCTCTATACATCCCATAGGTACGAGGTATTGAAGCAATGTTAAGTGCAATATGAAGTTATTCCACACTGTCTCCATGCAAAATGAGCTGCTTTGTCCAAAATTTTGTCGGCGGGAAATAAACGTCTGTCCGTTATGACTTGCGTTGGTGTCATAAAAATGGTCTTAAAATCCATTTAAACCAAGAGCGGTTGATTGAAATGCAATTTGTGGTGGGCAACAACATATTTATGTATATGACTTATATATGAATATTCCTATTGACGGTAGAGTAGACTTCTCCAAAAATAGATTTCCCCTTATTCACAAATTCTACTCCTCTAAATTTAAAGACGTAAGTCCAGTGGGGGAAGTAGAATCTCCAATTTGTATTACATGCACTGTATAACGTTATACATTCAAAGGCTCCGAGGCTACTAAAATACACGGGGTTGCACTAGACGTTGTGGAAAGGACTGATAACATTGGCATCCATTGCAAATAGCAGTAACTGAGTAACTGAAAATGTCTATGATATAATCCTATACGTAGTTCAGTTTAGCAACTCAATCAGTTCGGTAAGCTATGGCGTTCGTGCCACTGAGGAAGTTAGCCGAGCAGTTAAAGAAACGTGGGCCAAGCAAATGCTTTGAGGTTGCGTTGAAAAGACCTGTGTCGTCCTCGCTAATTACACAATGTTCAATGAATGAATGAAAGACCTTTATTGTACGTTTGTGCTCTAACAATTAAGCTAAAGTACAGGTCATGGATAGACAAGGAAAAGGATACAGCAATGGTACTTAAAATATGCCGTGAGACAGCCTCCAGTGAAAAGGGAAAACACGTCTATGATGTTTTGTGATGCCTACCTGTCGACAGCGATGACCAGCAGTGCGTGGGTGGACACGTACAGCGACACGGAGTTCAGGTAGTTGACGGCCCCGCACATGAAGTCGCCGAACTGCCAAGACCTGCTCCTCACCACGTAGTAGTCGAAGGCGAAGGGCAGGCGGAACACGGCCACCAGCCAGTCGGACAGGGCCAGGTTGCCGATCAGCAGGTTGGTGGTTGTCCTGGCCTCCCTGTACCGCGCCAGGACGGTCAGCAGCAGCGCGTTCCCCACGCCGCACACCAGCATGATGACCAGGTACAGCCCGCCCAGCACCCACCGGGTGATGACCGACACGCTCTCCTCCTGGTACACCGACGGGAAGCACTGAGGGCACAGGCTCGTCAAGTTTACGCACCCGAGGACACCGGAGGACGAGTTGCCGAGAGAGCAACTGCCGTTCGACATCATCAGCCCCTCCGTAAGGTTAGCGCCAAGCATCGCTAAAACGTGTTCCTCCATGCTGCACCAAACTACGATACAGACTGGAACACTAACTCTGGCGTACCCAATCTCTTATGTGTTACGAAGCAATCAACATGACTCGTGCGTGCATCTCGGTTAGATTCACCAATGAATGGAATGCCATGTAATGAGCAGGGCGGAGACTGGAGCTGTATTTGACCAATGAATCAGCCTGCTCGGCATTGATTGACGTGGGTCTCCATGGTGATGATGATGACTACGTTTGGCATTAGGTCATGCCGAGCACGTTTCATAACCGCGTGACGGTTGGTATCAACTGTCACATCCAACTGGTTTCCGCGGTTTGGAATTGTTTAGAAACTCGAGCTCCCCCGCAAAACTCATCGACGTCTTAATCCAGGAGGACCAGGCTTTGACGTAGGCATTTTTGTCTGAAGATAAAATGACATAGGTCCTGAATGAGAGAGGGGGCGGGGAAATGGGTTGGTAATATCCATACTGAAGACATTAAACATCAGACCTATTCATGAGACATGTTGTAGTAGCCGTGTGTCCACTGGAAGACAGTTCCAGAGTGACGCGGTTCTATTGATACATGTTCCCTGGTCTGTACATATACGAGCTCACATTTCCTTTGATCTGAAGCACAGATGGGACAGAACAGATTACCTGTACCTCTATCCGTCCGAGTGATGCGATACTGAATGAAAATCAAGTTTACTCACTCTTATTGCCCTCACATCTTCCTTTTTCAAACTCGTCGGTTCTTATATCCAAACATGGCACAGTAGAATACTGTGGTAAAGGGACATGCTACAGGGTCTGGACTAACATGAAATGTAAGCCCAAAAGGCCATATAGGGGATGTTTAAACTTAATATTTACCGTGGGTCTCACCAGAAGACCTACTAACGTCTGACTCTATATATAGCTATATACTTTATATGATTATCTTGCTGATGAGCCAGAGAAGAACCTGAAGAAGACAAATTAAGACAGCGACAGCTGGCCAGAACTCATCATTAATCCGAGAGTTCATCAGCCCGCAGTGCGGAGGACACAGTGTACAGCGGAAATTGATCCTAGAACCACCCACCAGAAGGCTCTCATCACGTCTTTCTACCGAACCCTTGATACTGATGCTAGGCACTGTAGATACCACAGGTTTTATATCTGGTATACTACTTAAAGTACATGTACCGTGTCTTAATGATTAACGTCCTGCGTTGACCCGTATAATAGGTGAGGATGAAGGTAACAAGTAGCAAACGTCGGTCCAAACTGGCTGTTTGCACTTAAAAGGGAAAAGTAGAAATACTTCAAAAGTAGATAGCAAGTAAACACAAAGCAACCAGAGATGCGATGCTCAAGCCATATGTATACTTATGTGAGCAACACAGACAGATAGACAAAAAGACAGACAGATACGCCAAAAACGATACTTCACTCCTGAGGGAGAAAGAAGGTTTAATTGAACCTCCTTGGTGGGGTAAGTAAAAATCATTGCCTCAGGCGGTCGGCATCGATTATCTGATTCAAGCGCACTTTCTTGAAACGACATCCACTCTTGTGTTGCTCTCTTTCATCTGTGGCTGAGGAAGCAAAATGGAAATTCGGATTTCCCACGTATCAAAATGGCTCGGGAAAGAAGAATGTTTCCTCAAGCTAAAGGAGCTACATTCAGCTTTCTATGACACCTATCCTCAATGTGTATTCAGGTAACCACGGGGGGTCAGATAAGTAATGTCAGATCCACGACTACGGGATTACGGCTGTAACCAGGAGACATTTGCCTCACCGGTTCTGTGTTGTAATCGCCGGATAAGTCCCGGTGTATGCGAGGGTAGATAGGCAGATGATTTTAGCAACGGCTTTGTGGCATACTGCGCATGAAAATAGACAGAAATTGGTTTAGATTGAAACCGAAAATACCCTATTTACTCTCAAAATAGGAAAATATCCTTGCTTGACGCTATTAAAGGTGATCCACATCCTGTCTGTAATTGAAAGAGGATGAATTGAAATAAACAATTATATCGAACTACTGTAAGAGCACATTTTCATGTCCATTTACATGGTATTTGTACATGAACGTGTGTAAATGTTGCTTATATTGATTTTTTTAAATTTTCCTGTAAGGTTTGAAGCTCTTGGCTGTGAGTGCGTCGCCCAGTCGCTGGAACTAATGACCTCTCAGACACGGTCACGTCCGAAGCGAATCGCAACAGCGCAGCGCTAGTTGGCCTTACGTGTATGGAACCATGATGTTTAAGTGTTACAGTTTAACTGACTTAAAAGCATCCCTTCTGACATCAACCTACACTTTAACCCAACCGACCTAAGCTTTAAAGCGTCGTTATGCATTACTTTGTGCCCCGAGAACAAAACGTTCATGTGAATGACACATGCAACCTCTTGGTATATATGCATAATTATTTCGTATTCCTGGTACTTGTGAACTGTGCAAAGAACAAATTGCACAAGATGACTTCCTTCGTGTATAAATCACAATGTGCTTTCAGTGCCATGACATCAGACTTGTTAAAGATCGAGGCATACGACATGGCAGTGGACATCACAGCGGACAGGGGCGTCGTGTCAGAGGAAGCCAGCTCCCTCCTCACGTCTCCAGCGACCTTGCTGGTGTGGAGGACACACCGTGGCCTGGCCTAGTAGTCTGGTAGACTATCGTAGACTCGCCGGCATCTCATGGCGCTCGCCCGCCCACATCCATTAGTGAACGCTGGGGTTTTTACGTCCCTTACTGGGGACGGCAGTAATCAGACTTGAAAGGTCGACTGCCAGAAGAAAAGCTAGAGCCAAACTGGGGCAGAAACACTCCAAATCAGAGAATGGTCACTAGGCTAGCATCCTAGTAGGTCCCCTAGGGTGGGCTAATTTGTTAGGCACAATCCAGGCTACGTGGATAAAAGAATATGATAAGGTCATGTTATGTTACCAAACAAACACTGCTAACCAGGCCTTAATTAACGAAAGGATATTGGCCTTTGAAAAATACCTTTGTAGAATAATGACACAAAATGTTCTCTCAATTGGAAACTGATTCTTCTTTCTCTTGAACAGGCACCCCACCTTTTATTATGATACACTTCTGTGTTACGTATCGGCAAAGGTGTGGTGTGTGTGTGGGGGTGGGTGGGTGTTGTTTGTAACCGCACAGAAAGGTGACGGCGTTAAGAGTTCTAATCAGGCCGCAACGAAAGGATACTGGCCTTTGAAAAATACCTTTGTAGAATAATTCACAAAAGGTTCTCTTAATTAGAAACTGATTCTTGATTCATGTTTGTTGTGTTACGTTTCAGCAGCCGTGTGGTTGTGGTGGGGTGGATAATCCCACAGAAACGTGACATCGTTAAGAGTTCTGATTAGGCCTTGAAGAAAGGGTACTGGCCTTAGAGAAATAGATTATTTGCAGAATAATGCGTTCAGGATTTTCTAGATTGGAAACTGATTTTTGTCCTTGATGGCGAGTATCAAGAATACGGCGCCTTCAGGCTAACGGGATGATAGAATCTGGTGGAAATTGCATACTATTAGTCTTTTTTTTAAGTTTCAAAGACCTAGCCGCTGTATTGACGTAGGTACAAGTAAAGGTCTACGACACAAGATATGAAATCTTACATCAAAGACGAAGAACATCCTTTCTTCAAAGTAGTTCGATGGACATTCTTGTCACTTCAGGATTCTTCAAGTATGGAAGTTGTAAACTGCAGACGTTCAGAGAGGGGGGGGGCTCTTAGAAATCTTGATTTTGATGCTCGGCCTTTGGAAGTTAAGTAATAGTTATCATCATTACATAAAAATAATGCAAATCGGGGCCTCATTTGCACAGTAGATGAGAACATGCTACAATAGCCGCCTTGTAAAGAGAAACTCTACTTCCTGTATACACTAAACATGCGGGTACCCTTTTCAGCCTAGCTTGCTGATAATTGGCCTTCTAATTCCAGCACTTTTGATGCTCAAGAAACTTCCTGATTTCTTTTCCGTCGATCAGGTTACTTGTAGGTTTTAACAGAGCTCTAATTACCCTCTCGTATAGAAGAACTTTATTGCACGACAATATGGGCGTATATGGGCGGCCATTATTCCTCAGACATGATCCTTAATTGCCATCTTGTGAGAAAACCTGAACAACGTGCAGTTCTGCCACGTGCACACGGCTTTCCGTCCTCGAGCGCCCCTGGAACGTGGCCGGGGAAAAGTCGGCATATTTCTGTATCTCCGAAACATGCAATCAAAGGACTGCGTAGCGCGAAAATCATTTAAGAACAGATCTAAAATATTGTACGTCAATGTACCAATACTGTACGTACGTGAATGATCTTAGTGACAATTTTTTTACTATTCTTGCCTCAATGATGAAATTCATATTTATTCATGTCTCTGTCATCACTGAAGGCAGCACAGCAAGTCCCTTCGACCGTCTAAGTCTATACCTAAACGTCTGTACCTGTACCTGTATCTGATGCTACGTTTAGGTACGCATAGCACGAAATTGCATGCCGTTTCTATGTCTGCTACAGAGAGCTTGTTTTGGAATGAGTGCCCTTTAACTCGCGCAGACCGTTACGTTGCCAACATTGCGCCGCGACGTATGCCACATACAATGGTTCAGTTCAAGCGTATTTTCAATGGTAGAGAGTAGCTTTCTAGTACAGGTATGAGATGTACACCATTTTTTTCGATGTTGTATGAAATTAGACATTTTAACAGCAAATATATAAACAGATACTTAGTAAGTTGCTGTGATGTCATCGTAAGTAAAACAGAACGAAGACTGTACGGAAAAAACGTTGTTGCAGCGCAAACGGGGGCTACGTGTCTTCTCCTGTACGTAAGATGTACGTGAATACGTGCCGGTCGCAAGGAGCAATGGCTGAAGAAGTCCCCGCCTAAATGCCTTCTCTCCCGCCCCAACCCGACTTGGAAATCGCCTGGGAAATATAATTCTCAAGCTTCTAAAAGTGTTAGTCCACATTTTATTGTGTTCAGACAAGCGAGTCGGAGTCGGGCACCTACTCATAAAGGATAAAGTACCGGCCTCACTTTAGATCTCATTAGAGGTCAAGGTATTCTCCAGTGCCATTTCTTACATGTATCTCTTCACTTGTCATTTCCTGTTATGAACTCATAGCAACTTACACAAAGCTAACTGTGTCGTCACATCCATCGTAGGTCGTCGTAAGATATTAATATTGATAGTCGTAGAATTATCTTGCAGACGATGAAAGAACCAACGGCCGACAAGGATCCAAGGCAGTATTTGTCGTAACAAGACATATAATTATAAACAAGACAGCTGGATTTCGCAGGACACGTGCATGTGTATCCCAAGATTTTTTTATTCCAACATGTAATGAAAAGACATGGTGACGGCACATTCAAGTTCTTTCAACTTATTTTTATGCCCTAAGTGGTAGCGAGTGTACCACAAACAAAAATCGTATAAACATTCAATTCTGGAACTCTAGATATATATAACAAAGGCGTGACCAGCAGAGCAAGACTACGCTCCAATTTTCAAACCTTCTCTATCAAATTGGTGTTCATTACCAGAGCCAATATCTGACTGAACTTCATTCAACCGTTGGGCGGCCTTGGACAGGCATCAGATGAACTGAGGCTACAACCGGAAAACAATTTCGTCATATATATGATGCACTGTATACTTGTTTTTACTGCCCTATTATTCCTTATCTTAAATTGCTTGTCGATTATGATGTCTCCATTTTATGCATGATCGACGATGTAGATTGTCTTGACCAACCAAATCAAAGTTGAAACGTACAGGAGTGTTCACCGTTGGTTGTTGAGAGCAATGAACGGTCAGGGGCATCGGCAAATCAGACCGAGGAGCTGTAAGCTGGAAAAATGTAATTCTATCATGTATTGAACCACGACTGGGTTTCCTACCACTCTCAGCACGGTTGGCTGTCTGCCACCCCACTCACATACAGGATCGCCGCTACATTCAGGTTCTCCTCCATGAAAATGGGCGTGCACGTGACAGAAAAGTGTTTCATAACCCAGCATTTTGCAAGATCCGCTCCGTTTCGTAGAAGCACCTTCCAGTCCAAAAAGTATCATATAAACTTCAAACGTCACACAGGTTTCAGTCGTATGCTAAGCTTTTACCCTGTTCACGTGGGCTGCAATCATTCTGGATTTGACACAGAAGACCTTCCTTTCTTTCTTTTCCACATAGACCTCCTTCATGTCTATGGCAGTTTGCAATACCACGGTTAAGCTGTCTGGTTTGATAACCACAATCATGTTTATATGGACGATTCAGAGAGGTAACCGCGGGTCCGATGTTTTTCTTGATCTTTCTTTCTAAAACTTGTCTTTATTTGACTGCAATGGGAACCAGTTTTAACTGTTGACTATTGGTATTGTCATCTTCATTGTGATCCGTCTTACATACTCACGGTTGGAGTAGAAAACTTATAATGGATATCAGAGATGAATGTCTGAAATGACGCCACAGTACACTGAGATTGCCTGTAGACAACACGCTCAAAGTGTTTTCAGACTTCCTTTGATTTTCCACACCGATGCGTTTCTTGATTACTTGCTTGTTTCAACTTCTCTGACAATTTTCTGAACCAACCATCAGCCGTATGTACAAGAAACGAGTGCACTTACACAATCAAGGCTTAATAAGTCGCCCCAAGGTGTATATGGCATCAAAAGGCCTGACCGTTTCCTTACCTAACCACCGAATAAATCACCGAGTGGGCGGAGATACAAACTGTAGAAGTAGAGGATTGGTCTTGGGCGGTACACTTTGTATTCTCTGCAAAAATCACATGGAGAAACGAGCAAGACTCACTCATTTCGAGAACGTCCGCAATTACGTGCATGCAGAGGCAGGCTGTTACAGCCTACAATCAGAACCGCTCATCCTCGGGTTACGATAAACCATCAGACTGGAGTCGCCCCTCAGGACCTGTCAGCACGGACCGCTCTGATTGAAGAAATGATTAAAACCCGACTCTTTGGAAATTAAACATGCAACAATATATAATAGTGGTTCTTTTCTAATGTATCAAATGATTCAAGGAACTGCAGGTACAAAGGATCAGGTTGCTTATTATTAGTCTCGAGTCCTTGGCCTAAGTCTCTGCCTTCGTTTACCATCCCTCTCTGCGTTAATTTGCAACGTCTGCTTATTCTACACTTAAACACTAGGCAACCGTCGTTAACTTATCTAGAATACCTGTCATGATTATACTCCAACTAAACACAATCCCAGTGAAAATAACAAAATTGGAAACTCACTGTGGTGGAGACACTATTTCCTTACATAAATTGACATTGACCCCTTCGGCTTTGTATACGGATTGAGAAACTGTGCTGTGGAAAGGCAATAAAGCACCCAGGATTTTCTACCGCAGGTCCGTACACAAGGGTATTATGTAGAGATAGCGAAGAAAGCATATTGGGATCCAGTGAGTGAATTATCCAAGAACGTTATAAAATTCGTTGCTTCCTGTTTTCATACTTTCCGCTGAAGTTCATCTTTCAACATCCCATTCTTTTGTGTACGATGCATTTCTGTTTATACATTCGCATCGCTTGACTGACTTGCTAGGAGCACACCCAGTCATGGGATTATTATATCAAGCAACGAACACATGCATGTTTTTTTGGTGTCAAATTGTATCCTCGAAAAATGATGTGCACATCACTTGGTGTATTATTATCTATAAGTAGTAACTGAACATAGGAAATATAGGATATATTTGTCGCCTACATATGGTTTTGAAAATGAGCATGAAACCTTATGAGAAAAGTAAATGAAAAGAACCCGCGTATTCATAATTATAAAAACAAAATGTTCATTACAACGTCATATATATAACTTGCTAGACACACTTGATCGACATAAAACCAGAGATATAATAGTATCAAAGCTTGTATCTGTACGTGTGTGACCATAGTCTATGTGACGTGGCTATGTCCTGTTCTTGGTGCTGAACAGCCTTCACATGGGGCCTCCGGTACCTTTTCCAATAAACGCCGAACACGGGAAACCCTGTCCCTGATCATCGAACTACGGAGAGGAAAAAGTCACAATGGCACAAGGGAAAGGGCGCACAAACTGTTGATCTAACAAAGGTTGTCAGAACCCCTATCACGTTTCCGTACGAGTAGGTTGAGTTACTTTACATTATTGCTCGGTATTGATATAAATGGCAATTTAGTCAAGGACAATCTGTCACCACTGTGAGTTAGTTGTGAATAACGACCATGCCAGCACACCCTAACTTAAAGTTGACGTGTCTTCTTCTGTACTTCAACTTCGAGCCGATTGTCGACCTTCTTCCGGGTCACGTGAGGGCCCGCTGTTATGTTGTTTCAATGCAGGTCAACTGGTGAACTTTGGTTTGCGGCCTTTCTGTGGTCTCACCGGGCAAACGCTTGAAGGGGGCGTGCCAGGGAGTTTGTCTGAACGCCAGACACTGACTGCGTGAGACCATTTGAAACCTTGTAACGGTAACTACTTAAACTGTCGTTGTACTGTAAGCAAAATTAGGTATCTGAAGTTTTATTTCATGTTAGTCTGTCGTTCAAGCCGACTTGCCTCTTGTTTGTGGTTGTTGCGTAATGGTGTTTGACCCTTGGAGCGTAGTGACAGTGTTATTCTTTTGCCATGCTGCGATTCCAGCCTTCAAGAACAGAATAATCTCTAGATGCTGTTGCAGGATAGCTTTGATCAGAAGGATGTCTGGATGTATAGCTCACATGACTGTACTGAAGCAGCTCATACCTCGGTCGAACTCTGTCTGGAAACCAGGTAATGTTGGGCTTGTCAAAACCAATTCCATATCAATTGTTAGGAGGGCCCGGGGGATAAATACATTTAATGATGGGAGTGTCAAAACAGCTTGATACAAGGAATGATATTGGATAAAATATATATTAAAATATTCATCTAAGTCTCCCTCCGCCTCCCCCCTCTCTCTATATATATATAACGTTATATGCATGTATATTTATAGTTATATGAAGGAGCTTCTATTTGAAGCTCCATGATCATGACGTCAAATATTCATTTTATCAAGGAGCTTCAAATAGAAGATTCTTGATTTTAATATACACTGTATAGTCTTTCATTTAGTTATATATTTATTCATCAATTGTATAAAATTACTCTCCAAGCAGATGTTGGGAGGTAAAATTGTTAAGTTTTCCCAGCTGTCCGTTTTTGGCACCAACTGTTAAATGTAACATTACAGCCCCTGCTGACACCCCAAAATGGAAAGACCTAAATACACTTACATGGCTTTGTTATTTTCTGAATTGGACAATTTCTTCAAAAGTGTTGCAGGTTTTTCAGGACACCAATTTGCTGTCAAATGCTTTTAAAGACAGGAAACAATATACATATTACATTTGCGTCTTCTGACTCTCAACTGTGTTAGCATTGCCCTTTAGATCAAACACACCACATTTACATTGCACATACAAATTAACTCTGAGTGTCCCAGATTTTAGGGTCAGCAAATAATGTTAAACATGTAACGTTACAGCTTGCATGCAGTTTTAACTATATTTGGTGTTATGACAGTAATTATGGTTATGCCAGCTGGAAAATTTACAGAAAATCATGTTGAAAGTTACTGATATGCTTGCTATATTGATTTATAGCTCACTTGTCCAATGAATCTGATTTTGCTATTTGGAAATGTGAAAATTACTTCAAGATTTTCCAATATGTGGTACACCTGAACTTTGGAATAACGACATAAGTACATACATTGCCAATCAAATCAAGCCCCTATTTCTACACAGCCTGTCCTAGGCCTCCGTTTTTGGTGCCCAAAATGGCTACTGTTAACAGTTTCCTCAGAATTGTAAATCTGGCAAACAATTATAAAAGGTTTCTTCAACACAGCCAAAATTTATACCTAGCCTTTCAATGTTTTGTTTTGCATTTAATTCTTCACCTCAGATGAGGGTCACTGCTTTACCTTTACTTAACATTTTGGTTGTCAACAAGGTGGCAGTTAGACAGTCCACTGAAATGTGTTGTGTGAAGGAATCTAAAATTATGACCAGTAAGTGCAATTATCATAATTTGAGTGTTCTACAGAGTAAAGAAAATAGCATCTTTTTCCATTGACCCCCCCATGCAGCAGTTAGGTGTGTCTCCCAGTCTGCACATCGGAAGCTGCTCCCAGACGACTATGACTATGATGGACCACATCTCGTTACACAGGTTCCAGGGCCTCGCTCCAAGGTGACCCCCATTTGTGCAAGTCAGATATGAGTAAAAGTTAATTAAATGAAGAGATTTGGTCACTACCCTTATACATGTAATACCTCAATCAAATAGGTGACATAACATTGACATAACATACAATGCATTAGCCTAGGTTATGGATTGTAGGGTATGTGATTCGTTACTTTATTGTGTTATGTATGTATGTATTTCACAATGTGGGGCCCGACATCAGCTCAGCTGCCAGGGCTTCCACTGTATTGCACTGTATTGTTTGCAATTTATATAAATAAATAAATAAATAACATTGTGGGGTGAATGAAGCAATTGTGATTCAGTAAGTACACAGTGTGCTGCTAACATCATGCTCTGTTTGTGGCAGATGCTGCTGGAATCTTTGGACTCCATTCAGGTAAAATACTGATAAAATCCAACTTTTGAATTTCTAAGATTTCTGACATTACATTATTGTTTATGAACATCAAAGACACTGAAATTTCTAACTGTTTAAACGGTGACAACCCTAAGTTCCGACAACTCAACCTACAATCTATGATCCAACAACCCTTAGTATATGCATTGTGCATTAATTTTGTAAAGTTAACTCTCATAAAGTCGGAACATAGGGGTGTCAGAAAGCAGAATCCTGGGTAAAAATTTATCCAACGACTTGATTCCAGAACACGGAGGCAGTTCAGTTTTTCTGTGATTTTAAGAAGAGCAGAGGAAACTGGCTGGTGGATGCAGATGGGAACCGACTGCTGGATGTGTACAGCCAGATAGCCTCTCTACCTCTGGGTATTATATACTTCCTTTGTAACATTGTGGAGTCTAGTTCTGCATATAGAAACCTGGTAGCCTCAGGTTACCAGTCCTATTATAGCTCCCAAGACATCCTCTCTGCAAATAGCAGAGAGGATGCAGAGGATGTAGGACTCACTCACTCACTCACTCACTCACTCACTCACTCACTCACTCACTCACTCACTCACTCACTCACTCACTCACTCACTCACTCACTCACTCACTCACTCACTCACTCACTCACTCACTCACTCACTCACTCACTCACTCAGCTCCACATGAGTAGGATGTAGGATTTGGGAACTAGTATAATTGGGAACACTAAGTGTGTGTAATGCATAGAATTTCTGACACTGTTTTCATATGTTATCTTCCAGGATAATTGAAATAAAGACATTTTAACATTCCAGGATACAACCATCCTGCCATTGTTTCTGCTCTTGCTGATGAAAGCAACTTGGTGAGTCTGTCTACTTTTAATCATTCACATCAGAAATCTGTACGTGTCATGTTGAAATTTATATGCACGTTTCCTGCCATGCAATACCAGGATCTGTTGAGCTTTCATTTCTTTTCAAGGTTATCCAATGCTGACACCACAAACAACCATCGTGCAAAACACTTTGGCGACATAGAACATGTAGTACCTGGGTAGCATGCATGATAACCTATCACGGAAGAATTACTAATAATCGTGTGTGTATTTCATGTATATTTACCCAGAGCGCGTTCGCAAACCGTCCTGCACTGGGAGTGCTGCCCCCTGTTGACTTCCCTGACACTTTGCAGAAACTTTTGTCGGTAAGAATTAAAAAAAAAAATAAATAAAATGAATGCAAAAGCTCAAACAATGAGGGTCTATAACTTAACAGCAACTTAAGACAAGAACTCAAGAAGTTTTTGGGTAGTTGAGGGAATCCAGTACACACACCTACATGATCAACAGGATTCTTAATGCATGTGTCGACATTGGGATGGGACCATCTAAAAGCCACAATGGACTGGTGGTCCTTACGTGCATAGACGGTCACCTGTAAAGGCTATGTTATTTCAGTTCAGGTCAGTCTGTGAAGACAGTGTCATAATAATTAATAAAATATCTGTAGTTTACATGTAACGTTACCTAAGATGTATTTTATGAACATTTTTGTATGATGATCTTAATCCTAACCTCCAGGTGGCTCCTCCTGGGCTCAGCCAGGTGCAGACAATGGCATGTGGCACCTGTGCTAACGAGAATGCTTTCAAGGCTGTCTTCTTCTGGTACAGGGTAAGGATACATGTAATTGGCTCTCTCAGAATTCCCAACTGAGGCCTCCAAAAGTCAAGGGTCGATAAGTGATTACCATGGCCTAATGTTCCTTCTGTAGATTATTTATAACTGGCATCATTTCTCACACCCATTTTCACACTGAATTAACCCCCTTATATTACGTTACACCTGGAGTAGCTGTCATAGGCATAATGTTAGATGATGAATTACAAGTATTCAACAAGATTGCAATTTACATTCTATTCAATATAAACAAGTTGAGTCTTAAAAAAGACTCTGGCGACGGTTTTTTCTGTAATATGTTGGTTGGTGGCCCCGATTTTATTTGTGCATCTCCCGTCAACGTACCAGCCCACCCCCGGTAAATATCGTACAATCCCTGGTGTCGGTCAGTGACCTAAATTAAAACACAGCATGTCTCTCCTATACCTTATGGTGACCGTGCCTCTGGACCAAGAGGTTGGGAGTTCGAATCCCGACCAAACATACACAATGTCGCATACCTTGCTAACTATATTCAACATGCATTCAATGTAGCTTGATAAACATCGGATGTATTTTGAGTTTGAGTATTGCATGCGGCTTCTTTCCACCATCATCAACCTCGGCTGACGTGTGCGGGATGGTACTCGTGTTAGACCTGTAACACTTTTAAGAAACCATATTTCTTTGTTGCCATGTATTGCCTGGCGTAAATTAGCAGGTGCTCAGGTAAAGTGCGCCTCACCTCATGCGATAAAACCTGAGGCACGGTCAGAAACTGACTGGGATCTATATATCTTCCCGACAGCGGAATGGTAATAGAATCATAACAAGATATATTTAATGCTTCTAGCTTTTACCGAGATCCGTGGTATGATTCTTAAAAAAATTTGGAAGTCCATTCTTACCGACATACTCATACACCAAGTTCTGTTTCCAACAGCCCTCTAAAATGTTTTTTGTTCCGTGTTTACCAAATAATTGTCAGGGGCTATTTGTCAGTCTATTTGTCAAACCCTGTCAAGCTGGGCAGAAGGTACCTCCCTAAAGGTGGGGCTTACGGTACAATATTCTTAACTACACACATTTACAGCATATGGCAGTTCTAAAGATTCTACGCATATCTAGCTTTTGCACACTTAAGCGTGTCCATAATGGAAAATGGTTGCTAAAGATGGTCCGATACGCCACCCTTGGCTGTCTTATACCACCCTGGGATCTGCTTGGAGATTAGTCAGTTGGTGCCTATATAATACAGAGTTCTTCACTAGTTAGTACGAATGAAATTCCTTTGGCTTCTGGGGCGGATCCTAGGTGGCCGATCCGGACCGTGTGTGAAGGCGGGGATACAGATAACGAGGCAGACAATAAAAGATCATTGCTAAGGCCACGACTGAATGATTATTATTGCATGTGGTGGAGCTAGAAATCTCCATTACAATAATAGGAAAAACAGATTATTATTTTACAAACGCGTGCCTGTACATAGTGGAATTTACAGGATGCATGGAGGAAGTGTGAGGCTGTATACATGTCAGCATTCTTCCCCGGCGATATGATGATATACTTACTATAATAGTTACTTTACTTTGGTCAAATTCCCGCTCGAACCAAACAAAAAACACTTTCCACTTCACTCTATAATTCCTCCATCAGAGACTGTAATTTACGTCTGATGTGAGGTTGTCAATTAAGTTACTCCTAGGACTTCTTTGACCTATCCTGGGTTCCCAAAGAAAGTATAATTTCTTCTCTCTATGTGATCTGTTTGAATAAACCCACTCCTCACCGGCACCTGGATGGGTGGTGTATATTACACTGAGGTAATAGATACCCCCAGTTAAAGTTACTGTTATTCTAAGATAGGCCAATAGGATGGAATCTAGGAAACAGGATACTGCTTTGCTTCAGAGGCTGTGCTCTCTGGATAACTGTCCATGGTGGGGGATGGCAGATGGCCAATAATTAATCACGCCGGACACCTGGATGGGTGGTGTATATTACACTGAGGTAATAGATACCCCCAGTTAAAGTTACTGTTATTCTAAGATAGGCCAATAGGATGGAATCTAGGAAACAGGATACTGCTATAGGGGGCGGAGCTTCCATCCTTTTGCTTTCTTTCTCACAAAAGTCTAAACCAGTCAGGCTGTAGCTGTGTGGTGGAACAGACGTGTGCTTGGTAGGGAACTCTTGGCAAAAACTCTACAGGCATAACACTGACACATCGGGCTACCAGTTGAGCCGGCGGGGAAAAACTATTAGATCCCCCGTAGAGAGTCCGGCCCCAACCACGTTAAACTGGATACGACTACGAGGCTATGGCCACATCAGCCCAGTACACCGGGCTTTCTAGGATCTGGTCCTGTACGAAAGACAGCGCGGATGGACCATGCTTGGCGGCCGTACAGTCCTTCCAGCACCGCAGAGATATCCGGCAGCCCACGATGGTTTAATAAATACCATACCAGGCTCGTCCAGGCCTAAGGTAAGCTGAGAGGTATGTTTCACCGTATATTATTTTGTACTTCCTTATGTTATTTGATGTGTTACATACCTGTAACAAATGTTGCGATTGTAGCCGTGACGTCTGTACCCCTGCAATTCTGTCGCCAAATAATCTAGTATTTTTTTGTATTTATAAACCCTTCCTTGAGAAGTTGTTAATTGTGGTTTTAAATGGGGTCATCACTATATGTGAAGAAGAATTACATGTATGACCTACGATTTGGCAATGTATTACAGTTTACGATAATGTCGACAGTAATTTTCCCATCATAGTACCATCGTG